GGGGGGGGGGCTCCTTGCCTCTGCAAGCTCCAGCCCCTAACAGCTCTGATTATGGAGAGATTCTCTCTACCATTTAAATGAGGTGCTTGAAAAACAAAAGCCTCACACATCTTGCAGCTCATCTCCTCTCTCATCACTTTAATGGCCTTTCCCCTCAAGACACAGAGGCAGCACGTTGCAGACCTGATTGCCCAGAAGAAAAGGTCTAAACATGATGAGTGGCAGCCAGGGAATAACTCCAACCCTTGGCTGCAGAAGTTCCCCTCTTTGTGCCAAAGATGCAGCTTTGGAATGGGAATAGTGGGGCCAGTTTAGGCTCTGCCTAACAAGGAGGGACACAGGCAGATGCTGATGTGTTCATTAATAGCTCTTAGGCTGGGATCATGAATAGCTCTCAGGCTGGAATGTGTCCTCATGGAGGTCAACTGGGTCTCTTTTACCTTTGGTGTGGGCTGAGCTCTGCATCCCAGAGAGGCAATTGGTCTGTGAAGTCTCTTTAATAAAATAGAGGTGAAGTTTATGATACAGCCAAGGGCAGGGGAAAACCAGTTCAGGTCATGGTACATGTCATCCAGCCCTTCTCTCAGAGATTTAGTCTGTCATTTCTAGTCTTTCTTTGTCAAAATGTTGGGATTGATTCTTCTCCACTGTGGAGTAAAATTCCATGTTTCAGTCCTGCACCCCCGAGGAGGAGGAGGTGTTCTTACCTTAGAAGATAACCTCTCCTAAATCCAAACCCCACAGATAGAGTCACCTTCCTTTTTGGCAGCATCAGCTGAAAAGCTCAGAGCTAAATAGACTTGGAGATGGAAACAGCCAGCCCAAGAATCTCCTGTGTCCAACAGACTGAGGTGTTGTGTCAGGCTACCCCAAGCATGGGGTTGTCCTCTCAGTGCATTGGGCTGCTCTTTCTGGCTGCACAGCCCAAAGGGTAATGCAGAGACACAAACTGTCATGAGGAAACCAGAGCACAAATCCCACAGATGCTGTGACATGTCTGTGCATCAAGAGCTGGCCCCTGAGCTGAAGGCAGCCAACCCAACCAAGGTTCAGCTCTGCTGGTGTGATGTTCTGCAGAGGCTGGAATGAAGAGTGTCCCACAGGGCAGCAGGGACTCACACCCAGCTGTCAGTGAGCTCAGGGCATGCTCAGAGACCCCAGCTTCTGTAAGCTGAGTGGAAGACCTTTGGTGGCCAAGCAGTGTCACCCAGTTAGTCTTGCAAGGGTCTGATTGCCTTGTTTGCATCATCTGGTGCCACACTAGCTCCATGTCCTTCACTGGTGGATCAGGGAGGCTCTGGGCTGCAGCCAGGTTGCCCCCATGCTCCCTGGATCCAGGATGCTCCTACAACAGGAAGACCTTGTACCTGCTGGTCAGGGTTAGGTGATTAAGGAGCTTGCACTAAGCAAGAGTTAATCCTACAAGGTCTCTCTGCTTCCTGTCATTGCAGCAACAGCAATAAGCTTTGCTGAGGGTTTCCCAAGAGATAAAGCTGTTGTTCTGCTTCTAATTTTCCCTCCTTTAGAGAATCCATGGGGATCCTACTTCTTTCTATGTTCCTTCCTCCTCACCCACCTTCCAGCCCCCAGAATTAATTCACCCTCACTGGAACATCACCCAGATCTGTAGCCAGTTTGGTTTGACAAACCATCAAGATGAAAATTCAAATGCAAAAAGTGTCACAACAAATCAGAGCAACATCAGTCTTGGGAGACACAGTCCAATGGGGTCTGATGTGAACAAGCTCCCAGGAGCCCATGTTGAGATGCCAGGGAAATTAATTTCTAAGGAAAGGTTTTTGCTGGTTCATGAGGGATTCCCAAGAGGCTGTGGGAGATAAGTTTTAGTTCCTTCTTTTTCTGATGGGACAAACTGGATGAGCAACTCCTGTATATGTCCCTTTCCCACTGCAGTTTCTTGAAGCTCAGGGTAATTTTCAAGACACCCAGGATGCTGTTTACAAAAGGGGGTTCCAAGGTGCTGAGTCCCCCAGCACTGCTCAGGTGCTCAGACCCAGTCCTGCCTTCCCATTAACACTGCCTCTCCCAGCACAACCCAGCTGCTTGCTGGGCTCTGGTGAGAAGGTGTTTGTGGTGTGCTCTGTGCAACTGGGAACCACAGTCCCCAGGAGCTCTGAAATGCTGGGTTAATGCAAATAATAACAGCAACTGGCAGCAAAATACCTGTGCAGGAACCTGTGTGGGTATAATTGCCCTTTCCAGTTGGGTTTAACCCACTACTACTTTGGCCTTTTTATAATAAAGGATTTCAGAGAATATTTATCACCTGAGGTCAATTCTCTGCCAACCTGAAACAGAGAAAACAAAACTGAAACAAACCCACCTTGACTGGGGGCAATTTTTTTGGTAACCTGAGGCTTGGCTGTGCATGCTGGAGACTTTGCAGGATCTCTTAATAACCATTGCCTTAATTGCTCTCCTAACAACTCTCAGTGGACAGAACATGCTGGTAGACCTTGCCCAGAGCTTTGCTCTTCTGCAGGGCTGTGGGGGAAGAGTTTTGGTGCTACTGATGGGAAGGAGAGGATTAAGGTAGTTTGCTTGCTAGAGAAGAAAGCAAAAAGTTCCTGTCTGTGATCTCCTGTGTGTCTGTCTGTCCTGCTTCTAGATATTGTCCTTCTTTAGACTGGATTGCAGGCAGTTGGAGCAAGGTTTTTTAGTGCTGTTGGCTAATTTATGATTTTGCTGAAGCCTTCATAAGGAAACCAGCACAGCACAAGCTCTGATCCTTGTTCTGTCCTCGGCCTCTCTAGAAGGACCACAAAGATCTAAGTAGAAATTGTGCCTTATGTAAAATGGGATCTTCTTGCAGGTCATCGTGGGAAGTATCTTTGAAGTGATTTGGGCTGCAGTGAAGCCTGGTACCTCATTTGGCATCAGTGTCCTGAGAGCCCTGAGACTGCTGAGGATCTTCAAAGTAACAAAGTAAGTCCAGCTCCCTTTCTGCTCACATTAGACTGTTAGTCCATATGAAATCTGTATCACCAGCCTCAGAGCAAATAGTAAAGAAAAAAACAAAACACAAAAACCCCTAAAAACCAGGTCCCCAAAACTCCTGTGCTGACTGGCATAGAGGTTAATTGCAAAGTGTAAACTCCTTGCAAACTTCAGAGCTGGCCTGAAGACAAGTGTCAAGCAGGGAAGAGCCTGTGGTCAGCAAACCTACTCTGAGGAGAATCAGCTCAGCTTCTTTTCCTTAGGGCTGAACACTCAGTAGGTTTGGTTGCAACTTTTTCAATTGAAGATATTCTCCCAAGAGGCCAAACTTGCCCTGAAACCTCTTGTGTCCTGTGTTATGGACACAACTTTTCTTGGAATGGGTGCAACGAGAGAGCAAGATCCTGCTTGTCCTGGGATGGATGTTCCCGTATCATCCTCAGCACAGAGAAACAGAGGGTGCTTCTGTCCTACACCTGGGGAAAGGAAAAGGAGGAAAATGAAGACAAAGAGTAGGGGGAGGATGGTGATTCTGCTCTTCAGATGCAAGCTCTGAGCTTGTCTTCTCATCAGCAGATCAGACAAACTCATGGGCTTCCTTCTGCTGGATGCCCAGAGCTGCTCTGCAGGGAGGAGCTCAGAGCATGGGGCTGTCCCCAGAAGTTTGCATCAGGAAGGCAGAAAACACTGCTGGGGAGAGTGACCTCTGGATGGCAGCTCCTGGTGTTGGGTGGTGGAAACCAGAGAAGTCACTGGAGAAAACCAGAAAAACTGCCCCCCATGGTCTCAGACTCAAAACTTCCACCAGAAGACACGTGAAATGGCTCTAAATGCCCTTTCCCTCTGCCTGCTCCAGCCCTGTATTCCATGTGCCAGTTTGTCCAAAAGGAGACTGTCAAAAAGCTCCTCTGCTTAATAACTCTTTCTGCATTTTCTGATTCATTAGTTGTCCTAATACAAGTGCTCTCTGCCTGCTCTCAGCAGGGCAATAAAGCCAGGATAGAGTTGTCTGGGAGCACCATCCCAGCACTTAATGTGCCTGCCTGTGTGTGTCCCAGCACCATCCCTGGGGACAGGGGAGATGAAACCAAACCAACTTCAGGGTCTGGCAGGATGCAACTGGGATGCATCAGCCAGGATTTGGGCTGAGCCATTCCCTGTTGTCCTGTTGGTGTTCATGTCCTGGATTTGTTTGCATCCTCTGAGGTGGTTGCTTGGTCCTGGGTGCTCAGACTGTGTGGTTGGGTTGCCTCAACACAGGCACTGCCTGGACATGTGTGCTAAATGGCTACAGAAAGGGTTAAACATCTGGGAGGGTAAGTCCACTTGTGGATAAGGCACAGGGTGTTCTGTAAGTTGGAAGGACCCAGGCCAAGGTGTCCTGCTGGAAAGAGCAGTTTATTCCTGGTCCACATCTTGCAAAGGGGAGGGTTCACCATCCCCACGTTGGGTGTCACATGGCTGGTAGCAACACATCCCTGTTGTTCATGCCTCTACTGACTGCTCTGCTGGATGAGAAGATGCTGAAAGGTTGAAATCTGTACCAGGAAAGGGGATACTGAGAAACTAAACTGAACCCTGTCACTGCAACCTGGGCTCTGCAGATGCCTCAGGTGACCTGCCCGTGCACTGCTCTGAGAGGGTTTGTCATTCTATGAGCTGGGTTTTCCAATCACAGAGGCCACTTTAAAGCTCATACAATCCCAGACAGACCTGGGTTAGAAGGGATCTTAAGGATCATCCAGTCCCAACCCCCTGCATGGGCAGGGACACCTCCCAGCAGCCCAGGCTGCTCCAAGCCCCATCCAACCTGCCCTTCAACACTGCCAGGGATGGGGCAGCCACAGCTTCCCTGGGCAACCTGGGCCAGGGTCTCACCACCCTCACACTCCAGAATTTCCTCCTCATGTCTAACATAAAGATGCTGATATTCCCTGTCACTCCCTTGGTGATCCATATCCTATGATATGGACCATATTAGTTTCTCACCCAAGGCTCTTCTCCCACTCACCTCATCTCTCTGCTGCTCTGATCTCCAACACAGGTACTGGAATTCCCTGAGGAATCTGGTGGTCTCCTTGCTGAACTCCATGAAGTCCATCATTAGTTTGCTCTTCCTGCTCTTCCTGTTCATCGTGGTGTTTGCTTTGCTGGGGATGCAGCTCTTTGGGGGACAGTAAGTTGAATTAATTGTTGTCCTGTCAGTTCTCTGAAAGGAACCACCTGGACTATCCAAGGGGAGAAGGGGCTGCTGGGCTCACAGATTCACCTCATGGGTGCAGGTTTCAGCCTGAGACGTGATCTCTGGTTAATAGAGGAACAATCCTATTTTGGTGCTTTTTCTTCTTCCTTTTTTCTACTCTAATCCAAAATTTCTGTGTTGTTCCATGGTCCCCATGAGCACCCAGACCTCTGAGACAGGCCTGTGGGAAGGAGGCAGCACTTTTTCTGCTCTGAGGGAAAGGCAAGTTCTTTCCCTGGCAGCCAGAGAAACAGGATTGATATATTTTTTCCACTGGGAATATTTGGTTAGAAAACATCATTTTGTTGAATCTGATTTCTTTTCACTAAGAAATACTACTTGTGATGAAAAGAACTACCCCAGTGTCACCATCCAAACTCTAGTATAGCTTTTGAAATGAAAAAAAAACAAACCAAAACACTTCTCTTTTTTTAATCAGCCTCTATTTAATCTTAAAATAATATATAAAAAAAATAAATTGCTGAATTTGAATTTGACTTTCACACTTGAGAACAAAAGCTCCTTGGAATGGTTTGTGCCACAAAAAGCATTTGAGAGTGTGATTGTTCATTTTCATTGTGGGTGACAATGAATTGGAAAGCATCAGACTTTTCTCTAGGAATAAGATGGAGTTTCTGCTCATAGTTCTGTTAAGCACCTTCTTGGAGACTGTGCTGGGGCTGCCTGGGGTGTTGTTGCCAGGTGGAGTAAACATTGCTCTCTGCTTTGGGTTACAGGGTGTTAAGAGGCTGCACAAGGGTTGCTGGTCCCTTACAGCTCTTGTTTTTATTTCTGACTTCTCTCTAGATTTAATTTCCAAGATGAAACTCCAACCACCAATTTCGATACCTTCCCTGCTGCCATCCTCACAGTGTTCCAGGTAAAGCCATATCTTGTCCTTAGATAAGAAATTCCTGGGCATCTGTTCCTGCTTGTGGGAGGCAAAGAGGTCCCCAAAAATCCATGGAGTTTAGGAAAGGGGAAGTTCTTCCTTCTCATGTATTTTTGCCAGATTGACTAATCAATGCATTTAAAAATCAATGCTGTGGAATTATGGAGATAACATAGAATGAGAGAATCCCAGGCTGGTTTGGGTTGGAAGGGACAGTAAAGATCATTCAGTCCCAACCCCCCTGCATGGGCAGGGACACCTCCCACCAGCCCAGGCTGCTCCAAGCCCCATCCAACCTGCCCTTCAACACTGCCAGGGATGGGGCAGCCACAGCTTCCCTGGGCAGCCTGGGCCAGGCTCTCACCACCCTCACACTCAAGAATGTCTTCCTCATGTCTCACCTAAATCTCTCCTCTTCTAATTTTAATCCATTCCCCCTTGTCCTCTCCCTCCCTGCCCTTGTTCCAAGCCCCTCCCCAGCTTTCCTGGAGCCTCCTCAGGCACTGGAAGCTGCTCTAAGGTCTCTCCAGACCCTACTGAACAAAAGACTTTTGCTAGGAAAAAAAAAATAGTGATTAAATAGATATTTCTGTGCTGAGCTTAGTCTATGGGTGCCCAGGCTCTGTTCCTGGAAGGGCCCTGCCCAGAGTCACACAGGGCAGTGGCAGCACTTGCATGTGCCCCATTGCATGAATCCTCTGCTCTGAAATCCCAGCCAGCCAGGGAAGGGTTGACCTGTTTCACTTTCTCCTCTGGTTACCATAATTTAATGAGGAGACAGGCCTGAGCTGGCTCCAGGCAGTGAGGAAATAATGCAGCAGTTTGCAGGGTAATAGCTCAGGAGAAGATAATGCTGGATAAAACTGACAATCAACGGGGGGGGCACAGAGAGAGGCATCAGCCTTGGGCAAGTTCATGTGATGGCAGGAACAAGTCACAGTTCTGGCAGACACAAGGCTCAGATTTAAGAGCCTAATTTTGCAGCTCTTCTCTGGATGCCTTTTTAAAGTAGGGATTTCAGGTGTTTCAGTGGAGAGCTGGGGCTGCTGCACCCCCACCCATGGGCAGGTGCCCAGTCTGTCCAAAGCTGCTCTGCTTTATAGCCTTGTCCTGCACAAATGGTTCATGTGGGCTCAAGCTGAGACTTGATCCCAGATCCCACTAGATCTCAGCAAGGCTTGGGTGATGTCTTTCTGTGTCCTGTCCCAAAAAGGAAAAAAGTGTTGATGACATTTTTTCTATTATTAAAACAGAGGGTCTAAAAGAAAATGTGCTCTGACCTCTGCATAAGCAGCTTCATATGGATGTTGCTGCTCTCCAGAAGGGAAGCAGCTTTGGCAGCACTTACAGGGTATTGCAAATCATGGCAAATTAATATTTGCACAGTGGTTTAGTGCTCATCAAAGAAAGGACTTACAGAAATGTGAAGGTGTTGCTGCAGAGCTGGACCTGAGCCTGAGCCAGGCTCTGGGTGTCTGAACATCTGGAAATGCTGCTGTTGTTTTGCTGTGGGACTGTAGCTATCTCTTGAGAATACTTAGCTGAAGTAGTTCCTTTCTATTCCTGAGATAAATACCCCTGAAACGTAGTGGCTGTGGCATGAATGAAAATACTGTTGATTTTGTGGCTTTAGAATGTCAGAACTAAAACCATCAAACCAGCCAAACCAGCAGCACCAACATGACTCATTGCAGCCTCACAGATGCATTCCCAGGCCATCCCCCTCCTGCCCTGGATTTCAAACACCAAAATGCCATGACAACCTTTCTTCAATCCAGGCTTTGGATCCTTTTCTAACCTCATCTCCCACAGGCCCAGGAAGCCAGCAGGCTGGTTTGCTGCTCTGATGAGCAGAGTAGCATCATTCCATGAGTGCATTTGATGCACTGAACAAATACAATAAAGCCAGATACATTCTGGCTGTCCCAAGCCCCTTTTGGAGGGTCTTTGTTGAAGAAACAGTCTTCAAGTCCTCTGTATCCTGCCTCAGCCTGTTTTCTCTCAGCAGACCTGACTGGGTCAGGGCCCTTTCTCATGCAGCTCCCAGGACATGGCAGTGGGTGCAACTGAGCCCCCCTGGCCCTAAATCCCCTTTGAAGAGCATCGTGTGTTTTCCTCCAGATGCTGCTTCCCAATAAATCTTTGTGTTTTGTACACACACAGAAATTAGCTCACAAGATATATATATACACACACACACACACACACACAGACATGAAAAATAACTATCTCCCTGTTCCAGCAGTGACTGAGCTGGAAGTGTTTGACATCCCTAAGCACAGGGGCTCTGTAAAAGCAGCAGGACCTGATCCCAGAAGCTGAGTGTCCCCTCTGTTAATGTGCTCATTAATCCACTCAGATTTCATAACAGCTCTTGAAAGCTTTTTTTAATTCCATCACCTGATGGCTCCTCAGCCAAGCCTGAGTATTAAAAGCTGAGATGCACTGGGCAAATCATTCATCTGAGGAAGCCAGAAGCAGTTCTGGGCCTGGAGAAAATCAAAACGTTTGGGCTTCAGCTTAATCCAAACTTCTCATTGCTTGCACCCCTGTGCTGTGGCAAGAAGTCCTCACATCATCCATACACCAGGACTTTGTAGAGCAGGAACTCTTTTATTTACTGGATGTGCTCTGCTCCTTGAGGGCTGCTACCAAATTGCTGAAGGAATGAGGGACAGCAGGTCAGTGTGTCTGTCCTCTTCTCAGAGAACATCCCGAGCCCCACACAGGCAGGCTCGTTATTTTGGACCATTTATCTCTCTGCAAAAGTTCCATAAACCATTCTTTATTTTTACTCCTTTAAGTTTGTGTTCCACTTTAAATTAATCCAGTTAGATCTTTGAACCCAGACCCCAACCTGGACTTGTTTTAATTTGTGATACTTGCAGCTCTTGGTCTTCTGCAGGACATGGGAATGTTCCCACCAGTTTGCCTTTCCACAAAAGTCTGTGTGAACAGAAATCACATCACAGTGATTCCCAGAAAGCAGGAACAGTTGTGAATTCATGGAAATGATGTGCGTGCAAGTTTTTGAACAGTGTTTTGCATAATTGAACAGCAGAGCTAAAAGCCCAATGCCCTGGTTCATGTTCTCTGGTGTAAACCCAGAACAACTCCAGCCGTGGGGCTGAGGCTGCACGGAGTTACTTGAGACCAGATGCTGCCTTTAGGAAACAAGTGTGTGTGTGTGCACTGGGTGTCCTTGTGTCTTTACTTGCTTCTTTAGCCTATTGCTGTCATCAGCACCAACCTTGCAGCAACAAATTTTCTCTGTACCAGCAGCAGCCTGGGATTTGCAACCATTCTGAGTGTGCTGTGGGCACAAGGGACTTGATTACTACAACACACATCATGCTTGGGGCTTTTTGTGGCTCGTTGTGTCTTTTTTCCTTCTACTAAACACAAAGACAACTTCCTATTTAGGACTTCGAGCTCCACATCCCAGTGGGCAGGTTTTAATTTACTGGAAAGAAGCATCATTGGACAGCCATGGCAGAAGTGCTGATCAGCCCAAAGTGTTGCTGGGCTGCAGCCACTGGGGAAGAGCTGGGATGGTTGGCAACTCAGGCTGCTGCAAAATTAGCATCTAGCATGACAAGGCTTCTTTGAGTCTTAGGTGTTTTCAATTGTTGTGATTAATTTTTCTGTTTTTCATGTGTTGGTTAATCAGGCTCAGTATCCTGAGCCTGCAGCCAGGGCAGCTCTGCAGGGCTGCAGCTGCTCTCACCTCCCTGCAAGGACACAGGAGGCACAGAGTCCCCTTCCAGCTGCCTTCATCTGCCCTTGCTTCTGCTCAGGGGTTGCTTTTGTGGCCATCTGGGTGGCTGAGGGTCCCTGTGGCCTTGGAAACCTGCAAGAGCCCATTGTGGTCCAAACCTCACGTGGCTGCGCTGCCACGTTCATGTAGGGACCAGCAAAGGTCTGAGGGACAAGGGAAGGGGCTGCAGGAGTTTCTCCTCCTGCTGCACAGTCACTCCATGGGTGCAGTGTGTTTGGTCTGGGGAGAGGGAGATGAGCAAGACCTTTCTGTATGAAGTCAATGAAAGGAAGCTGGTGGTGGCAGAGATTCCACCCAGGGCACTGGGCTTAGGACTCAGAGTTCCCTGAGGTCTGGGGGAAATGCTGAGAGTGGAGCAGCTGAAGCCTGGTATCACTGCAGGACTTAAACATGGAGACAGAGGAGAAATGGAACGTGTTTGAATGGAGGTGAAGCGATGGAAGGTGGCTCTTACTGCTTCTCACAGTCGGAGGTGGGCAGGGAAGCAGGGAAGGGCAGGAATTGCTGGAACAATGCTCCCTCAGCAACAGTCCTCACTCTCCTCAGCCCAAACCAATGGAGAAAGTTGCATCCAGCCCAAGGTGGGACTGTCCAGTGCTGAGGACTAATGTCTAACACTATGGTCTGCCAAGCTCATATGCTCATACATTTTTACAGGATGGTTTGGGTTGGAAGGGACCCTAAAGATCCCCTAGTTCCAACCCCCTTGCATGGGCAGGGACACCTCCCACCAGAGTCTCCCCCCAGAGCCCAGTCCTGGGTTGCAGCCCTGAGCTGCCTGGCTCCCCCAGACCTCCCCTACTTCGTCTTTCCTTTGAGTCACCCTTCCTTCTCCTCTCTCCAATGTCCCTGCAGATCCTGACAGGGGAAGACTGGAATGCAGTGATGTACCACGGGATCGAGTCCCAAGGTGGGGTCCACTCAGGGATGTTCTCCTCCATCTACTTCATCGTCCTGACCTTGTTTGGTAACTGTATCCTTGCTGGTGGCCTCCTGTGTCCTGCACCCTTCTGGGGGTGCTAAGAAAACCTGAGTGCATTTAAATTCTCACCCCCTCTCTTAGGCTTTTTTAAAAACCAGATCATTGTTATAACATGGTTATAAGAGGTGTAGGTAAGTTGTCCATGTTGGTGTCACTTGTCCCTGATGTCACTGAGGGTCTTGTTTTCCTATTTTAGGTTGAGAAGGCACCACTGTGAGTTAATTTATGTTGTGGGAAAAACGATGGAAGTCAAGTCAGAGCAGGACTTATGTTCCTTGAATGTCTTCCCAGATGGCTCACAATAGGCCAGGGGAAGCAAGACTTGTGTCATGGTTTGACTGCTCAAACCTGGACAAATTAAAGTGGGTTTCATGTGTAAATCAAGGTGCCTGATCAGATCAGATCTCTTGGTGCCTTAGTCTATGTAACAGCTTAACCAGCTGTGCTATTCCAAGTGTTTGGAATTGTCTGGTCTTCACACAATGCTTAAAACTTCAGTTCAGATCTTGAGTTCCAGGCTCTGGGACTATTCAGTCAGATCCCAAGACCTGATACCTAAAGTATCTGAAGATGTTCTGCTTTGTCAGGAGAATCCCTTGAGGAAACAGAAAACTTGTGTTCCCCCCAGAGGTCTCAAGGTGCCTGCTGGGGACCCAGCACCACTTTGACATTGGTTTTGTCCCCAGAGAGGATGAAAAAAAAAAATAGCAGTCACATGGAGGTGGGATGGGGAAGGGAGGCAGAGTTTTATAGAGGCATGAGCAGGAGCCTCTCAGCTGCACTGTGGGTGGGATAAGGAGGCCAGCAGAGCACAGGAGCTGTGAGGACTCTGTCCCTGTTCCACCATGGAGGTTGCTGATGGGCTGATGTTGCTTAACTGGGGACAAAACTGTTGGTGTGAGATGTTTGCAGTGTCCAACGGAGCATCCTGAACAAGGGGATCTTAAAACCTGTTTCCTACCTGAGCCTGGCCTGGCTGGATTGTTTCTTCCATAGAATAGGGGTAATAATGCTGAGCTTCATCACACCGCTTGAGAGCACTCTGGAGGGTTTCCCAGCAGTGCAGACCTTCTTGCTAGTTGGTCCCAGTACTCATCCTTTCCTAGGAGCCCTGTTTGGGCTGGCAGCATCAGCTGGGTACCTGGGAACAACGGAAGGGTCAGGAGGGCAGTCCTTGTGTTCAAGGCATTGTGTTGTTATGGATTTAGAGCCCTTCAGCTGGGGGCAGGGTGAGAAAAGGTGGGACATCAGCACCCGTGGACTGCCTGGCAGGGCCTTGGCTTTGCCTGAAATCTCCCTGTTAGCACGAGGAACCAAGGCAAGTGGGAGCTGTGCTTGTGCCATGGGTGTATCTCTGTGGGATTGATCCCATCCCCCTGCCTGGCAGAGCAGCCCTGGTGCCTGGGCTGGCTCAGGCAGCTGCCTCCTGCTGGGAATTGTGTCCCTTTCCAGAAACAGGCAGCTTTGGAAAACTGGGTCAATGGAGAACTGGGAGGCAGGGAGATCTCTAAATCCTCAGGACTTGGCATTTGAAAATGGGATTAAGCTATAATCAGGCTTGACAGCAGGGCTGAGAGAGAGATTTTTAACCTCAGATCAGCTGAGATCCAGCAGTTTTGAGAAACAGGATATAAAATTCCTTATTCCACCTTTGATTCAAAGAGGGGCCTTCTCCCTTGTGTCTTTTAGCTTTCATTACAGGAAAAAGCTGGGGATGTTGATGGGGAGGGAATAAGGACCAGGTTCACCTACTGCCACTGCCATGAGTTTGGCATTTGCCTCTGCTTGCCCTGGCAGAGGGGTGAGCCAAAATCTTACCCACCTTCTCCCCAAGTATCCTTCTGGCAGGGCCCAGCTGGGATGCTTTTCCTTCTGCTGTCCCTGCTGCCAAGGACAAGGACTTTCCTGGCTGCTTCCCCAGGAGCAGCTCCCATCCCTGTCCCACCCCCTGTGCCCAGAGCTGTGTGCTGGTGGCAGGCAGAGCCTCCCTGGGGAACTGGCTGTGTCTTCAGCCAGGAGGGGGATCTGGGTGGGATTCATTCATTCTCCCTGGATCCTGCAGATGGGATGAGTTTGCTGCAGGTGAGTTTCTGTGTGCACAGAGTTGAGGGCTGACTGACTGACTGACTGGAACAACACTCAGAAACCTTTTTGCTGTGTCCTAGGAGAATTCTTTCACCAGCTTCTAGTGTTCAGAATGAAAAAACCTGAAGGAATCAATTTATTTCTATGGAGTTTTACATCCCTATGGGAGAATCCTAACCCAGATTGTCTCTGTGGAAACAGTCTGGAAGCACCAGCTGCTTTCCCAGAGAGCTTGTGAGAGCCCTTCTGCATAACACATGGACCTGCTGCACCATGAGCAGGAGGGGAGAACTGAGGCTGAGGTGTGCAGAGGAGGATGAGAGGTTAAATCTTTTCCTTGTCTGTTTGCTGTGGGAACTGCAGCAGTAAAGCTGCTAGTGTTTGTGCTGATATTTCAGGCAGTATTTCAGTAAGGTCAGTGCTGCTCCTGCTTTCCAGCAGCTAGAGTTGTGATGCTGAGAGCAAGCAGCAGGCAGGGACTTATCTCTGGGGGAAAGCTTGAACTGGCTGACTTACCAGGGCCTTCAGTTATCACTAACTGTCAAGACAGAACCAGGAATGTCTGAAAAGAAAGCTTAGTTTGCCAGAACAGAACAATCCTGCATGTTTGTGGGAAGGAAAAGTCAGTGATGCTGTGGTGCCCCAGGTGAGTGTACAAGGTGAGGTTCATATCCAAGCCTTGGGCTCACCCCACAGCCCAGCAACACACCAAGAGGACACACTGTAGAGACCAGTCCCAGTTGCTGATTAGCTTAATTATAGATTAGATTAGTATAAACTGTCTTTTCAGCTCTAACCTGGGACTTGAACATTTCAGTCACGCTCCCTTTCTGAGATCTCCTCCCTCTGCCTTCCAGAACTCCCTGCAAAATCTTTACAAATGTGATTTTTATATGCAGTGGATTTTTTATTTTCAGTTGCCAAGTGAGGATTTGCCACCAGCCCTCTCCACCCAGACCTTCATTGTGGCTGAATTCCTTATGTGGGACTTTATCTGATTGTATCAGTATCATTGAAATTGGTCTTTGCCACCTCTGGAGGCTGATCAGCCACCAGGCAAAAAGCTCTTCAGTTCCTCAGCTGGAACTGGGTTTATTTTGAGATGTTGAACCCTGGAATTTGGTGAGTTCATTTTTAAGAGTTCAGGCAGACTGTGGATCAAATCTGGTTAGAGAATCAGCACTGGTGATTTCAGGTCAGCTTGCAAAACCTGCTCTTTTTAAACATGAAGGACTCTTTTCCTCTTCCAAAGCCTCTTGGGCCACTGTCATTTTTCCACTTTAGAAAGAAGGAAGGTGCTTGGTTCCAGCTGCCCCAGCTTCTGCCTCCAGCTCAGTGATTTCTTTGAATCCATTTCCATTTTTCAAGTGACTCTTGCAAGGAAAAGTTCCAGAAACTTTGGTTTTGTAAGTCAGAAGTTTCTCACGTCACCTTCCCAGTTCCAGAGAGTCTGTGCAGAGCCAGACCTGAGATGGTTTAATGATTAGAGGAAGAGCAGGATTTAGCCCATTTTCTGGGAAATGACACCATGCCTGTAGTTCCTTGTTATCTGGTTAATTGATAAATTGATGCATCTGTTGAAGGGGAGGGGGAAAAGGGAAAATAACAACATGAAAAACTGCAGAGAAGCCTGAAATGAAATGCAGGGAATGTCTGGGCTGTGCTGCCCTGTGCCCACAGCTCTGGGTACAGCTCAGTGGGTCTGCTCAGGTTATACAGCCTGGAGCAGAGGCTGGAGGTTGGGGGATATTTAGGAATCCCCAAGCTCTTTGTAAAGAGCTTAGAGGACCCTTCTGTGGGCAGAAACACCCAAACCTGCCAGCTTGTGTCTGACTGGAGATGGATCACAACAGCCTGATCTGTTAAGAAAAAAATAATCATAATAAAAATTAATTATATTTCCAGTAGTTGCTGATGTTACATGAGACATTTTCAGCATGTGTGTGTAGGAGGCAGGGGTTGGAAGACAGTTTTATCACTGAGACATTTATTCCCAGAGCAGGAGGCTTGGAAGTGTTTTCAGTGTTTTGGAAGCACCTCAGAGGAGGAAATCCAAAGAGCTGCCACCAGCCAAGCCCCCCCCAGCAGTGCCATGGGCAGCAGTGCCTCAACCCCCTGCCTGCACCCCTGCTCTGTAAATGACACCCCCCAAAAACCCCCTCTGCCAATCCTCAGCTAAAAGGAAAGAGAGAAATGAGTGTCTTTCCAGAGGAGAAGTTGCTGGGGCTCTGGCTGCAGCGTGGGAGGGAGGTGATCACTGCAGGATCATCTCCCCCTTTTTCTTGCTCTTGATCTGCTGGGCTTGGTGGCATTGAAGTGCTCCTGCCCTGCCCTGCTGTTCCTGGCCTGCTGGGACACAGGAAGGAGCAATTGAGGGATAGATCACATTCCCAACCTCTGTCTGTCCCAGAGGGATTATCTTCATGTGATAAAAAGCTCCATCCCCTGTTACGTGACATGGGGGAAACCTGATGGACAACCTGGCTGTTTCTGGGGAAGGTTTCTGTGTCCCACCCCCTGCAGACTTTGGTAATCTGGATGCAGATGCATTTTAAGAGATGAAATACAGCTCCTGCTTTCCCATGGCACAAGCAGAGACTCTGGTTTGGCCAGTCACTCACGCTCTGGAGACCCTCATCTCAGGAGGAATTAGAGGTGTGAATGTCTGATTTCTGTAGTCTTGGCTGAACTGTTTGGTGAAAGCTCTTTAGAAGGAAAGCAAAGGAGACTTCAGCTGGTTGTTTGGGACAACTTTGGTCCCTAGGTGCCCTAGGAAGTGTCCTGAAGCCACGTGCCAGGATGGGGTGATGGCTGCACAGCCAGCAGCTCCCACAGCTGCTGTCCTGCCTGGGAGCTGCTGGAGCACCAGGAGATCTGGCCACTCTGCTCTTTGGCAGAGATGACTGCAGCCTTGAGCTGCTTCTGGCTCCTCTGTTTATGGAGGAACCTCAAGTGCCTCCTCCAGACATCCTTCTGAGAACTGCAAAGTAATTAGCAGGGCACAGAGGCCAAGATTTCCCAAAATCTTGCTCACCCCCCTCCCCTTGCTGGAGCAAATGCATCCAGCTCACAGACCAAAGGAGGAGATGTGTCCATTTCCATTCTGTTAGCTTAATTAGATGCCTTAAATTCCTGCCATCACTTCACCCAGCTCATGGGGACCTGGGTTTGGTCCCAGGCTCCTGCTTGGCCCTGGTGAGGACACTGCAAAACTAACAGGGTAGGGCAGAGTGGTGTTGTTCAAGCATTTGTGAATCTTCAGAGGGTGAAGAGATCAACTTCATTCTCACCTATGTTTGTATTTAAAGGAGCAATCCTGGCTTTACACACAGCCATGGAGAGAGTGACTTTCCTGTCCTCAGGTAACATGCAAGAACAAGATGTATTTTCTTCTTGGAAATGAGTTTAAGTTTGGCTTTGCTTTTCTTGCTCTCCTCTCACCTGCAGAGCTGTCTGATTTATGAGGGTTTGGGGGTTGTTTTGCAGATGCCCAAAGGGAACAACAAGTCAAACATATGGAGGGATAATACCTGGAATCATTAAGTGGAAAAGTGAAAAGAAAATAGGAATAAACAATTACAGGGAAATGTTATGTCTTAGTGATCTAATGCAGTGCCCTGCAGAGAGGCCCAGGCTGGTGTGGCCACTGGTGGTTGGTTAACCAGGGTGTGTGTAATTAGGCTGGGACTAATGGCCCATTTCCCAGCAGAGCTGGTTAGCTGGGGCTGGCTGCTCTGCTACCAGGTTCCTCTCTAGCTGTGCTTTGTGTGATGCTGCAGCTTCCAGGATAGAGGATGCTTAGGATGTTCTCATGGTCATCTTGACTTTAGTGTGACAAGTCCTGATAGTTTCCTCCCATCAGGAGGTAATGCAGCAGTGACCTAAGCTTCACTTCTTCCTGGTGCTCAGAGCCTTTCTGCAGTGATCTGTGTGTGTCATGCAGAGGTTGGCTTTAAAATGATCCATTTCCAGGAGCTCTACTGGGTGTCCTTTTAAACAAGAGGGAAAACTGAAGGTGAAGTGGGGTTCTATGAAGCCCTTTGTATATATATATATATGTATGGGCAGAAGTGTAGGTGTGTGTCCCCACCAGAGACACCTGCTGGGAGGGGACAGAGGGTGCCCTGCTGTGCTGCCCACCTGGCTCCCAGCAGAGCTTGGACATGAAGACAAAGGGTTGGTTCAAGGGGTGGATTGCAAGCTGGGCAAGAAGGGTGGGTAGTCACAGCAGAAGGGTAACCTCTCACTGTGTGTGCTGGGTGAAGATGTTTTCCTGAGCTGCTGCCCAACAGATACACTCCTGAATGTCTTCTTGGCCATCGCTGTTGACAACCTGGCCAACGCCCAGGAGCTCACCAAGGTAGGTGCCCTCTTGCTTCTCTTCAGCCCACAGCACTGGATCTAAAGCCCACCTCACCCCCACCCTTCCAGACACCCCAAGATTTCCTCCAGAGCTGGTTCATGTGATCTCTCTGTTTGCCAGTTTGCACCACAGCAGGACCTGGAGGTTTATTCTGGTTCAGGTTTCTCTCCTTTGAGGTTTGTTTCACTGAACCATCTCCTGATCCTGAGTTTCCCCAGATCCCAGAGTGGGCAGTGGGCACTGCTCCTCTCCCTGCTGCACAGGCATGTGGAGCACTTGCTGTTTTCAAGAGCAGAGGCAAAGCAATGGACAGGTTGGGCTGACTTGAAGCTGAGGCACAGGAGACACAGGTGCTGTCTTGCTGCTTCTGCTGCCTCAGCTGATGTTTCATACCTTGCTGAGTTCTGGGCTGAATCAAAGAATGAACATTCTCCAACCGACTCCCTGGAAAATGACTTGCAGAGACTGTTGTGAATATTCAGTGGAGATGTTAGAATCTTCCTGCCTCTCACCAGGTGCAAGAGAAATCTGAGGCACCACCCTCAGTGCAGGCAGGTCCTGGCAAGGAATGGAAATGACACTGGTGTAATTCTACTGTGTGAGCAGGTCTATGAGTATCCCCAGTGGAGAAAAGCTTAGAGCTTGAGTTGAGGATCCCAGGTGCTGCAGTTTGTATTCATGTCATTGTGGTCTTTTGCCCTCTCCTTGTAGCAGACTTGGTTGTAGTTATGAGGCAGCATTAGATTATCTTTCTACATTTCTTGCTTGTTCTCACTGAGTGGATAGAACCAGGCACGGGCTGTGGCTGCTGCCATCATTGTGTGTCACTGTGACCTGCTAGTGGGGAAAGAAGTATCATGTCCACATGAGCTGGTACATGGAGGGCTGGAGAACCTCTCCTGTGGAGACAGGCTGAGAGTTGGGGTGTTCAGCCTGGAGAAGAGAAGGCTCCAGGGAGACCTTAGAGCAGCTTCCAGTGCCTGAAGGGGCTCCAGGGAAGCTGGGGAGGGACTTGGGACAAGGGCAGGGAGGGAGAGGACAAGGGGGATGGATTAAAACTGTAAGAGGGGAGATTTAGGCTACATGTTAGGAAGGCATTCTTGAGTGTGAGGGTGGTGAGAGCCTGGCGCAGGTTGCCCAGGGAAGCTGTGGCTGCCCCATCCCTGGCAGTGTTGAAGGGCAGGTTGGATGGGGCTTGGAGCAGCCTGGGCTGGTGGGAGGTGTCCCTGCCCATGCAGGGGTTGGACTGGATGATCTTCAAGATGCCTTCCAACCCAAACCAATCTGGGATTCTCTGCTGATGCTATGATTTCACAAGCTTTACCTTACAGACTCCTTGCAGGATAAGCAGGTCACCATCCAAGTGCTTGTGCAGCAGCCAGCAGGGAATTTTGCTCTTTTTAAGGTTGCAGAAAGCTGCAGTAGTTCAGGGATGCAACAACCAGTTCAGGAGCACAGAGATTTCTCATTGTTTCCTGCCCCTCTCCAGCTGTTGAAGTCCAAAGCAGCCAACCATTCTCAGTTCAGACCCACATCTCTGCTGCAGCTGAGCTTGTCTTCACTAGTTCTCTTCTCCTGTGGAGCTTCCAGCTCTGACTGGAACCTTGTTCCCCCCAGCACAGCCCCTGCCAGAAAGCTGGTGGCTCACAGGTGTGTGATCAATATTCCTGTGTCTCTGACACCATATTCTGCATCCCTCCCTTACACTGCAGCTCAGGGCTGTGTTTAATGGCTCTCAGTTCTAGTTTTTCTGGGCAATTTTTCCCTCAGAGCAGCCCAGCTGTTTCTGTACTTTCTAGAGCCCACAGAAACCTCAAGCCTGGAGATTCTTCCCAGTTTATTCCAGAGATTTATGAGCATCCCTTGCATGTGCTAAGAGAAAGAATCAAGTGCAGCACAATCCCTGGATAATGAAGCTTATCTTGCTTCTTCCTTAATACTTTTAGTGCTTTCTTTTGAATATTTCTGGGAGGGTTAGAAACCTGATTTTGTTGATGTTTGTAAAGTAGAATTAAATACTGCTGGATTTAGCAGCATTTCCAAATCATAAAGCTTCTTGAGTAACTTCTTTTTTCACTGATTTTATTTGTGATCCCCAAAACTCACTAGGGCTTTGGAAAGAAGAGGGAAAAGATAGAAGTGATTTGATTATATAGCATACCTGGGGAGTGAGGGATTTATTCCTAAGTCAATATGATCATGCAAACCCCCAAATGGCCTGGAGATAGAATGAAGTTCCTCAGGAGTCAGTTGAGCTCAGGAGATTTTCTTGACATTTACACTGTAAAACAAATGGAGTTTAGGGCTGCATATCCTGTGGGAAAACCAAAAGCAGTTTGCAACAGCTTCTGCTTTGGAAAGACAGAGCTTTCCAGCTCAACTTCAGGACTGAAGTATTTCAACCAACATCTCCACTTCTGGAGGCACATTTGGACTTGTGTTGTCGTGGCTTTTGAACGTCTCTCGGTGGCTTTGGCTGCGCCTGGTGACCCGTACCAGGCAGCAGCAGAGGGGAACTATATTTAACTGTAGCTTGATCATCCACTGTCTGTTATGAAACTCACCAGTTCTTTAGAATGACTCATTTTTTTGGGGGGGAAAAAAAAAAATCACCTTCTTTGCTTTGAGTATATAAAGAACCTGTTCTCCAGCCTCCAGGGCTCCCTCCTCTTCCTGTTCTGGTCTCTCTTACCACCACCTTAAACTCTGCCAACTCTTTCTGGTGCTTCCTCAGAACTGTCCTGAATCTCTCTGGGTTACCTCACCTCCATTCTTCTCCATCTATTGGCAGGTTTTGCTTCATACTCATTTACTCAGAGTGGAATCTACATTTGCCCCCAAATTTTGCTTTTAAAACAATCTCTCAGCTGCCCGTCCTGCTCTGTCTCTGATGACACCCACAGCAGCTCCTGCTTCATAGAATCAGAGTTGTTTGTGTGGGAAGGAACTTTAAAGATCATCCAGTCCCACCCCCCTGCATGGGCAGGGACACCTCCCATCAGCTCAGGCTGCTCCAAGCCCCATCCAACCTGCCCTTCAACACTGCCAGGGATGGGGCAGCCACAGCTTCCCTGGGCAACCTGGGCCAGGCTCTCACCACCCTCATGGTGAAGAATCATCTCCTGCTGTCTCACCTCAATCTCCCCTCTTCCAGTTTTAATCCATCCCCCTTGTCCTCTCCCTCCCTGCCCTTGTCCCAAGTCCCTCCCCAGCTTTCCTGGAGCCCCTTCAGGCACTGGAAGCTGCTCTAAGGTCTCCCTGGAGCCTTCTCTTCTCCAGACTGAACACCCCAACTCTCCCAGCCTGGCTCCAGAGCAGAGCTGCTCCAGCCCTGGGATCATCTTTGTGGCCTTCTCTGGATTCTCTCCAGGAGCTCCATGTCCTTCTTGTGTTGGAGGCTCCAGAACTGGACATTGAGCTCCAGGCAGAGTCTCACAAGAGCCAAAGGGGGAGAATCACCCTCCTGCCCTTCATCCTTTTTAAACTGGCATATAAATCTGCTATAAGAGACCCTTTATTTTTCTAAATACCCTCAAGCACAAAACTTGTTCTCTGATCTCAGGGGTCCCTGAGAAAGCAGCATAAAAACAAGCAATGTGGGATAGGAGGGATGTGTGAGCTCTATCTGGAAATATAGAGAACTATGTGAAAATAAATGACAAAGTTGAGAAATCCTCAGCAATAATAGACTGAAGAGAGTGGAAAAAACAAGAGTCTTAACAGCCATGAAGGCCCCTCCTCCTCCTTCACGTTGGGGAGGACTTTAATTGAGTGGATTTACTAGTCTGTTAACTAGGTACATTGTTATGAGCAGCACCAAACATGGGTTTTACTGTGTGATAAACTTCAGTTAAATGTTAGATTAACTGAAGATTTAGAGCTCTAGAAAACAAATACAGGAGAGAGATGTCCTTACAGGCAGGGTCATCTGCTCGTGCCCCTGTGCAGTGGATGGTGGTGGTGGAGCTGCCAAGCTGGGCTGTTGGTGGGATGAGGGAGGGAGGGAGGGAGGGAGGAAGGGAGGGAGGGATGGATGGATGGATGGATGGATGGATGGATGGATGTTGCCATCACAGCTCAGAGTTCATTTCAGTCATGCACTCTCACACTCCTGCACCTTCTAAGCAGAACAAGATGTGCCCAGTGAGACCTCACAGTGTAAACAGCAGGCAAAACATTAATGAATATTTAGTAGTGATCTGCAGTCTGTGGGTTGGAGGAGCTGCAGAAGTATTAGTAAGGAATCATCTGCTCTGGGGTGGGCTCATTCTGAGCTAGGGACAGCTGCATCTGTAATGACAATGGATATTTTCTGCTATTATGTCAAGATAAGGAATGCAGCAGAATTACTGATGCACCAGGGAGAATGGAGTGGAAGATACAAATTGTGAAGAGATGGTAAAAGCTGCACCTGGTGCTTTAGGTGTAGAGAAAGAAAAATCAAGAGCCTTTGAATGGATGTGATTTTGACACTTCTAGAGAGTCCTCAAGAGAAGCAACAACTTGAACATACCTGTGGAATGAAAGGGAAACCTTTAAAGCCTCTTAGTTAGGGCCTTACTCCTCAAAAAATTCCTATTTGGCAGATACCCTTGATTTAAAACAAGATGCCAAACCAGTGATAAATTTACTGGCAGATGAGAAATATTTACTTTGTTTAATTGTTCAGTAGGACTTTTTTTCTTGGCCTGTGTCAGGTTCTTTATCTGCTGCAGGAAGAATTTACTTTGGAAAGAACAATTTAAAAAACCCCCATGAATGGTAGCAAATTAAAAAAATTAATTTTCCTTGCTTTCTTGTTCCTTCTGAAGGAGAAAAGGATTTCAAAATGAGTTCAGTTTGAGCAAATAACACCCAAGTCACAATGAGGAGCTGTTGATGCTCATGGGCTTCAGGATGGATCAATCCATGTCATTTCCTCTTTCAGAGCAAGATATCCTGCTGTCTGCTCTCATTATTTGAAGCATAACTCTTTCACACTGTCACTGTTGAAGAGCAGAGCTAAACCTGTGGCACTTCATGAAATTTGACAGAGGAATTTGTGCCTGATCTTGCCCTGAATTGGGTGGTTATTCCCTGAATGGTGTGATTCTGACCTTGTACCTGAGGGGTTGTGTTTTCCTCAGCATCATTTTACTTCCCCATTTGACTGGTTAGAAAGTTTAAAGGAGGTTTAACCTAGATGACTCCTGAAGATGCACCAGGCTATTTCTTTGCTTTTTGCCCTTGTCTTATTGCTTAAGGTCCTGTAGTTTGGATTTGAGCAGTGTTTCTCTTGTCATTACCCCAGGTAAGAGGAAATGAATCACAGTTACACTTCATGGCAATTTGCAATGTCAGTAGAGATTAAAAAGTCACAAGACTGGGAGGTATCTCAGAATCACAGAATGGTCAGGGTTGGAAGGGACCTCTGGAGATCAGCTGGTCCAACCCCCTGCTAGAGCAGGATCCCCTGGAGCAGATCCCACAGGAACACATCCAGGTGGGGTTGGAATGTCTGCAGGGATGGAGACTCCACAGCCTCCCTGGGCAGCCTGTCCCAGGGCTCTGGTACCCTCACAATAAACAAGTATTTGCTTATATTGAGGTTAAACTTCCTGTGCTCCTGTTTGTGCCCATTGCCCCTTGTCCTGTCTTTGGACACCACTGAAGAATCTGGTCCATCCTCCTGACACCCCCTGGAGATATTTATAAGCATTAATGGGATTCCCCCTCAACCTCCTTTTCTCTCAGCTGAGCAGCCCCAGCTCTCCCAGCCTGCAGGAACATGACCAGCTTTCTAATCCATGCTTGAATCTACAGATGACACTTTATTACGGCTCTTCATTTCTCTTTTCACCCTGTGAATCCTCAGTGACTCAGTTGCAATAAGTGGAAATATCAGGTAAAACTGGTGTGAGCAGGATCAGGCCAATCCATTGTTGTTTATTGGACTTAGCTGGTTCCCAAATGTCCTTTTGGCAAGAAGTTCTGAAGGACTTAGGAGTCCGTTTCAGACATAGGCTTTAAAAAGTTTTTGCACACACAGTTGTGGGATAAACTGGGGTCACTTCAGCCCAGAACTGTCACTTGTGCTCAGGTCTCTCCCTGCTCTGCTGTGGTTTCCTTCCCCAGTGCTCAGTGATAAGAGGAGTCCCAAGAAAGGTAGGAAAGCTATGCAAGGAAGAGATAATCTTGGTAAAAATGCCTTGAGCACTTGATAAAATATTGTACTTCTCATCTTGACTGGCTGCTGCTGGCACCAAGGGGGTTCTTGTAGGAAGTTTTGAAATTCTGCCTTTTGTCAATGAGTTTCCATTGTTCCTGCAGTGCAGCAGTGACAGTCACATCTGATTTGTCCTTGGGGACCTCTGATGATTGTCATGACATGATGCATGCTCTGATTTCTCTTGTTTTGCTGTCCCAGGATGAGGAGGAGATGGAGGAGGCCACCAACCAGAAGCTGGCCCTGCAGAAGGCCAAGGAAGTGGCTGAAGTCAGCCCCATGTCTGCAGCCAACATTTCCATAGCTGCGTAAGCACCAGTTTCTTATTTGGGATCTTTCCCATTTTCTTGCTGGTTGTCAGTGTCAGTACGTGTCTGGTTAACTGGAGCATCCCATAATACTCTGTGAGGCCTTTTATCCCACCTCTGTTACAGACAGGGCTTCAGGTTGGACACTTCAGTGCCCATCACTTAACTAGGAACTTACTGAAGTCCTTGTTTTAGTTTGTCTTTCTTTGGAATGCCTCATCTTTTGCCTTCCTATGAATAACTGTGCTGTCAAAGGGTTTTTTTGAGCTGTCCTAGGAGAGATTTCACCAGGTGAAGTGTTAACATTTCACTTTGGATTTGGAAGTACAAGAGGTATGTGTGCACATCATATATTAACTGTTCTTTAATGGTCTCTGCTTTGAGAGTTCAAGTGCAAAGGCAACCTGGTAAATATTGGACTGAAAAATATCCTTGAATGATCTTTGGTCTTTGCAAGAGTGCTGGGTGGAGTAAAATCAGGTATGGGAACAGTCACTGGTTGGTAGCTAGAAACATCAAACTGCATTTCAGGTGTAGGTTTCCTGCAGGGCTGGGGACGTACGGACAGATCCTGTGACACCAGAACCCTTAGGAAACATTGTCTGGAGGCCCAGCTGTTTGTATGCACTGACCTAAACTGAAGGGAAAAACTTCTGTCTAAGTGGAATTACTTGTCTGGATGTTGCTGAGGTCAGTGCAGCGTTCTGCCTGCATGGGATGATGGGCCTGTGTTTGAGACGTGCCTGCCTGGAATGTGTTTGCTTCCAAGTATGTTCTCCATAAAGGTTCATTTGCCACTTCTAGAGTTTTAGCATCAGGACTTCCAGCATCCAAACATTTTGTTTGTCTGTTTTACTGAGAGCTGCTGATGTTTCCCAGCTCACTTTTCCAGGAGAGATCTCCAAAGGCTGCATAAGCTGAAGCAGAGAAAAAGAAATTTCCTGTTCCATTTTATTCCCAAGTATCTGGATTGCAACAAGATCTCTCTTCATTCCTTCGGTGTAAATCTCTTGAGACTCTTGTGAGTGAGAGTTTAATCCACTAGATCAAAGATAAAAGGCCAAATTGAGCCAGTTCATTACATGTGAAGGAAAAGAATATTTGACTGCTTTATCCTTCTGCTTTAATCAGCTCCTGTTTATGCCATGTCTCTTTGTTGGTTTTGCATACAATCCTTTTCTTATGACAGTTTCCTGTCCAGTCTTGCAAATAAGTCTTTTGAGGATATTTGCTCTTGGTCTTTGACAGATTTCCTGGTAGTGTTATTTGAAAATACAAGATGATGTTTATTTTCTACTTTTAATCAAAAGCACAGAGCATGTGAAGATTTCTTAGAAATCAGAAAAAAGCCCCAAGACTTTAATGGAAAGAAGATTTCACACCACATTGTTGGTTGCTTAAAATAACCTTTGATTCCATCATTTCTCACCAGGCTTTCACCTAGTTTTCAATATCATAAGGCCTGTTTTGTGACCACAACTGCAAGTGAGTACAGAAGTGTGGATTCCTGCTTATTTTGCCTCAAATCCTATCTGCCCAGATCCCCACCTGCCACTTTTGTTCAGGCAGATAATAAGGGTCACAAATGAACACACTGGAAGGCACAATCACTGCCACATCCACCAATCCCATGTAGGAGGTGTAGGAGCCATCAGCCAACAGCTCTTGCATGAATTCTCTGTATCTTCTCATGATCTCTTCTTGGGTGCCAGTGAGGTGCTCACAGGGTCACTCACAGGACCTTCCATTTGGAAAAAGAAGGAGATCAGGTCAACAGGTCAATGACCAAATGGATAATGATAGGGAATGAAGAAGGCAAGGGAGAAGGTAGATGTTTTATGAGGAACAGGCAGATGGATGGATTGCTGGGTGCTGATACAAGCTATATGTAAGGGATGCATGCCAAAGGAGCCTGTAAATACACACATGCATCCACAGGGAAATCCAGTGGAGCTCAGCAGCTGCAGCTTTCAGGTTTGTAGCACCTGCCCTTCAGATATCTCTGAGATGATGATGCAGACCCATGGTGACAGCCAGATGTGCCCCACTGCTTCTTTTCTTATGGTCTTGAGCTACACAGTGGTCCTGAAGATGAAGCAGATTGCAAAACCTGTCAGATCCAGCCTCTGATGCTGGACATGCTAAGAATGAAAAAGTACTGGGCATGCTTGAAAAAGGGATTTTTGGCATATGGAAATTTCTTGGTAAGAAGCAAACACCTGTAGGGCTTTTCTACCCCTAAGTGGGTGGTGAGCAGGGGCAGGGAAAAACTGGGACTTATCTACCAAAGGTCTGCTGCCAAGGCATGTCTGTATTTTTATTTTCCCCAAAGGAAATAATTTTGGGGTTTGTAATTTGATTTTATTTTCATCATGTGTGAACATTAAGTTCTATAACAATAGGCAGCTCTAGCGTGGATCTGTGTTCTCATGACATCAACATTTTCTTCACCTGCATCAATCAAAACAGGCCTCAGGTGTCAGCAGAGGACACAGTGACCTGCACTTCCTTAGTCATGCTGTTGGTGTTCCCAGCATGCTTGTCCACCTCCTGCAGAGGTGACAAAGTTGTCCTGGGGCTGAAGCCAGTGAAAAGTCCTACCAGTCGTTCTGCTGTTCCACCAGCAAGGTGCTGTGCTTGCTGTTTTGCTTCTCTCCTTTGTCCATCCTGCACCAAGGACTGAGAGTCTCTTCCCCTGAGGCTCTTTCCAGGCTGTTGTCTACTCTGAAGCTTTGGACCTGCTCCTCCACCTCCAGAATTTGTCCTCTGCAAGTACAGCGTGTGCTCCTGGTTTATCTGCACTGGTTCTCCTCCTCTCCACTGCCATTCCAGCCTCTCTTCATGACTGAGCTCCAGGAAATGTTCCATTTATTGCATCAGTTGCAAAATAGAATTGCCTAGGCTGGAGAAACTGGTGTTTTAGTCTCTGTGTCAGCCTGCTGGGAGGGTCCAGAGTGGTCTCTTCACCTCTACACGTGAGCAGCAGATTGGTTGGTAGGTGCCCAAGCAGCCTGGTGTCATGGGGTTCTGTTTTAATAATCTATTTATTATAAATGTCAAGAGATCATCTGTCTTGCAACTGTCTTTCTTACAATGTTCTACCTGCATCTGGTTTGTCCCTCCTGCTTCATCCATCTCCCAGGGTTTCTATGGTTTGTCTTCTGCTCCACCCAAAGGGACTGAATGTGAACACATCTGTCTGACCACAGTTTGTTTTTTTCACCTGGTGAACTCTATCCAGAATGGGCCTTCTTGGTTTTTTTGTGCTTTTTCAGGATTCAAAGCTAGGATGGTGTGGGGGTTTTTTTGGTCATTGTTGCAAAGTTTGGTTTAAAACAACGTATCTGTTGAACATGTGTTATTGCTTTTTCCTTTGAGCCCATTGTTTCCTTCTTATTTTTTGTGATTTTAATTTTTATTTGTGTGTTTTCTGTTTAGCATTTTCCTTGCTTTAATGTTTCTGGAGGTGAGTTTCTGGGTTTGTTCAGCTTGCCCAGCATTGTCTTTAAGACCTTCTGTTTTGTACAACGTGGAAACCACTCAGCTTCTTCAACTGAGAGACTGTACAGACCCAAGGGTCTTTAGAGAAAAACCATTGGTGCAGCCTCCTTGGTGGCCAGAAGAGAGGAAGGGGGGAAAAGGAGGCAATTCCACAGGCAATGGATGTGTAAAGCACTTTGTGATCCCACTGGAGAGATGCCAGTGGGAGGAAGAGCCACCAGGCTCATCCCAACATGAAGACCCCAGTGCAAACACAGTCTGATTTTTGTCTAACCCAAAGCCTGAGCTCCCCACCTTTGGTTTCCCCCTCCACCTTTTCTATTCCAGCCAGAGATGCACCAATGGCCAGTACAAAAGGGGCTGCCATGAGCACACCCAGCCCAGCCTGGCCAGCAGACCAGCCAGAGAGGACACAACCCATGGCACCCAAAGCCCATGTGTCCTTTCTCCACCTTTTCTTGGGAACAGCTTAAAAATAGCCATGACAACAAGCAAGCAAACACTAAATTTATAGGAACCTGCTAAGCAGTTATGCTGAAGTCATCCTGAGTGAAACATCTTGCTTTTTTTGTTACTTAGGGGTTTTTTTGTAACCCCATGGAACAAAGGGTTGGAGTTGTAGTCAGACCCTGGGAGGTTCTTTAAGCAGAGTTATAGGGTGTGAGTTCTGCGTGGGAGGAGAAGCTCTTAGATACAGTGGATGAAACCTTGGAGAAAGTGCCAGAGACAGTTCATGCAAGGTGGGCACCAGAGCTATACACTGCCTCTAGAATTGCCCACTACTGGTTTTCAAAGTTACAGGTGCTTCCCAGGACAACCTTCCAACCTCTAGAGACCTCTGATTGGGTTCTGCTGGTCCCTCCCATGGTTGTTCAAAGCAGTTGACATTTAATTGCAGGCCCATGGGTTGATACTGCCTGCCAATGTGACTGAGTTCACTGCTCACTAGATAAGTGCCAAGAGCAAATGGAGGTGGCACATCTCAGTGGCTTCTCAGAGGTGTCTGTCCCTTTTGTACAGGTCTGGGGATGAAGGGTGGGGAATTGCTCTGTTTCTCCAGGACATTTTCCATCTCAGAGGCTCCCTGTTTTCCTTTTGTCTTGGGAATACTGTGGTCTGTTTCCAAATCCCTGTTGGGCTGTCGGTACAAAACAGGACCCAGCAAGAAGTGTGTCTGAACACCCTGTCCCGTGTTGGGTGATGTGTAGATTAGAAGAGGTGTTCTTTTTCACTTGCTGGCTTGTGATTTCTTCCCTTTCTTTCCTCCCCCAAAAATGTGTTGATGTGTGAGGTACTGTCACTCCTCCTGTTAGCTTACCTTAGTGTCCTTGCTGTTGGTGTAACCATGACTCAGCTGCACCTCCAGACACACTTTGTACTCTGTCCTTCCTGGCTGGTAAGTAGCAGCAAGTAAAGCTCAAGTGCTTCTGTCATTTTGGTTTGGAAAAATAAGATCTCTTTGCTTTGTGGCTCTTACACCCTGCAGTTCCAGAGCAAAT